TCGGCCTCCCAGAGTGCTAGGATTATAGGCATGAGCCACCGTGCCTGGCCCCTAAATTCGTTTATTTTTATTTTTAAAAAATCCATATTTAAGTAATAATCTAGAGGCAATGGCTCTGCCAAGCAGGTGAGTGAAATGCATTGCTTTTCTTCCTGGACACTACTGGTAACACACAGAAACAATCCACAACTCCAAGGTTGTCTATTTGCAATAAACAGGGCATATGTTGTTATATTTCTCTTTCTCTAGAAAGTTAAAGCCATGTTCAGTGATCCCAGATTTCTGAACAGGATTTATGGCACTGCTTCATGGTTCTGAGAACTCTTAGGAAAAAAAATCCTCTGTTTTCATGATGTGCTTCCTAGGTGGGTGAATTAAAATCACTGTAGTTAAGTGAAAATGTTCCACTGTCAGAGCATAATGTTTTAGGAAACACAGCATGGTGGTTGATACCATCAGTTTTTTTTTTTTTTTTTTTTTTAGACAGAGTCTTGCTCTGTTGCCTGGGCTAGAGTGCCGTGGCGTCAGCCTAGCTCACAGCAACCTCAAACTCCTGAGCTCAAGCGATCCTCCTGCCTCAGCCTCCCAAGTAGCTAGGACTACAGGCATGCGCCACCACGCCTGGCTAATTTTTTCTATATATTTTTAGCTGCCCAATTAATTTCTTTCTATTTTTGGTAGAGACGGGGTCTCGCTCTTGCTCAGGCTGGTTTCGAACTCCTGAGCTCAAACAATCCGCCCACCTCGGCCTCCCAGAGAGCTAGGATTACAGGCGTGAGCCACCGCGCCCAGCCTGATACCATCAGTTTTTAGGCTGCATTGTCGGAGTTCAGATCTCGATGCTTCCACTTAAAATTCCTTTAACCTTTCTGTACATTGGTTTCCTCAGCAGCAAAATGGGGGGATAGCGACAGTGTTTTTGTGAGAATCAAATGAGACAGTGCTTATAAAAGGTACTTACAGCAGTGCCTGGCACAGAGTAAACACTTCATAGACATAAAGCTATTATTATTTCAGAAAGGAAATGTACACACATCAGCTCATTTTCTGTATTTTGCCATGATCCATTCTTCCAGGAAATTATTATTGTAAAAAAAAGATTTGGAAAATGTTGATATCACTTAGGATGATTTGACGCTAACAGAACAGCCAACTTAAAAGGACATAAACAAAAGGAGATTTCTTTTCTAAATCTGACATTCTGTATTATACTGAAACTAAGATGCCATTGCTCGTAAGATACAGCTCACATTCAAGGATATTAAAATGTAAAAATGTGTCTCTGAGTCAAAACAAGAGGTCTGAGGGTTGGGGGTTCAGGACTGGCGATTTCTGCCGTTCAACAGCATCATGAGGGACTCACGTTCTTTCTCCTTTCCACTCTGGCAGCCTTCGGTGCCTACTCAGAGAAGCCTCACAGGTGCAGGATGGCTACGGCAGGCGCAAGCGTCACACCTTCACAGTGTCCTAAAGCCAGAAGAGAGGCTGTTGCTTTTAAAAGCAAGAAAATATTCCTAAACTTGACCAAAATAGCACATCACAGACCTTTTCTTAAAACAATACCTAGCAAAGGGAATAATTTGTCATGTTTGGTGCAAACTTAGCAAGATCTGCCCCTTGGGGCTGGCAGTGGGGGCGTTGCCCCTCCTGAAGCAGACCACTGCTTCACAGCTGAACAGAATCTAGGTTCATAAGATGGAGGAAGAACGGGTTCAAGACAGGCCACCAACAGTGCCTGCCATTCAGATTTACTTCCTGTGACATCACTGGTACAACTGTTCCAGATATAAGCAGCCAACTGCTTGGAATACTATCCACCCTCCTTCATGTTCTTACTAATAAAATGAAAGATTCTTTTCTGGGTTAAGAAATTAACCTCACTATTCCAAAGACTCTGTTTTCTATTACTGTGGGTTTTGGATACCTGTCTTAAATCCTGTCAGTGACCACTCAAACACAACAGTCCAGCTGAGTAGATTTTCCCCTTGCACTCAGAGCCCAGATCCCCGAATAGCACTGGGGACTCCTGCTCTGTTCAGTTTGTGATCTACTTCTGTCACTTATCACTAGATTGTGACTCTTTCCATGTCGATAAATATAGATCTGCACTAGCCTTGTATAATGGCTATATAATAATTCTAGTGTATGTGAAATTGAAATGTACTAGATTTCACTAGTAATGAGTGCAAATGAGATCGCAGTAACACTAACGCTTCAGTCTCAACAAGCTCTGAGCCCTCGCCTGCTTATTCAGGAATTCTGATGCATTCTGTGAAGTTTCCCCAGTTATTTCTGGATTGCCCACACAGTGTACTTCACATGTGCTCAGGCACAAGGCCTCTTATTGTATTTTGTTCCAGCGTCTTGGCCACTGCCCAACTGTCCCAGCACCCCCATCCGCTGTGAGCCTGCCGCCGTTCCACTAGGCACAACTGTGCTCTGCAGGGGAAGCGGTGCCCAGTCAGGTGTGAAAGCTACACAGTGGCCCCTGGCAGGGTGAGGAGAATGGCCCTCATCGCACACTGAGTGGCAACTAGTTTGGGGCCCAGGACGGCCCTGCTGGAGCCCGGAGCCTCACAGTCTTTCACACGTCAGCTCCTGCAGCCTCTCATCCTCACTCTTCTCACACGAAGTGGCTCAAAATGGTGGAGCATCCACCATTCCTCCATCAACCTCCTTTCAACCTCATTTCTGATCTTGTCCCCAACCACGCTTATGAACATACAAAAATCCTCTTCCTTCCTCTTTTGCCTCCTCCTTAAGGACCTTGTCTCAAAGTTCTTATACATAAGATCAACTTATTCATGGTGCAGTACAACTTATCAGTAAACACATGAACTCTACAGGCTCGGATCAAACCCTGACTCTGCCAGTTACTATTTGTGTGAATTTGGGCAAGTTACCTAATCTCTCAATGCTTCTGTTTCCTCATCTGTAAAATGTGGATAGTGACGGTATTTCATGGTACAGTTGTGAGGATTAAATGAGTCCATATACATAAAGTAATTGATGCAATGAATGGCGCCTAATAAGTGCTATGAAGTACTAGCTATCATTATACCTTGCCTAGAGTAGGTCACCATCCCACTAGTTTTACAAGCAGCTTTTGGCAAATTCCACACTTAGAATTCCCTGTACAAGTCTCAAGTGAGAGGAGCTTACTTTGCAGGGAGAGAAGACATTCTTCCTTTCAGTATTATGCAAAATAATTTGTCTTTAAGGGTAAGATAGAGAAATCCAATGACCAAAGTTACTGCTGAATGATTATTTGCTGAATATTGACTGAGCACAGAGCAGGCCGATAACAAACCCAACATTGTAAAGGCATTAAAAAGAGGGGGAAAAACAAAAACCAGAAAAACCAAAAAACAAGCTGGGCTCGGTGGCTCACACCTGTAATCCCAGCACTTTGGGAGGCTGAGGCAGGAGGATGGCTTGAGCCCAGGAGTTTGAGGTTGCAGTGAGCTATGATGACATCACTGCACTCCATCCATATTGGGTAACAAAGCAAGACCTTGTCTCAAAAAAAGAAAAAAAAATTAAAAGAGGTATCTCCTGTCCTTTAAGAGCTGTCAATCAAATTAAGGGAAGTAAACATAAATGCGATAATTTGAAAATAAGTACCTGCAACATATTACCATACACAGAATAACGTAATCCACACCAAATGCCACAGAGATCTCTGCTATAATAATAATAGGTGGATGAGAATGGGGAGCGGGGAATGTAGAAAAGGCTCCGTGGCCTTGCAAATTTAAGGTAACTTCGAAATAGGTGTACATTCTGGCCCTGACTGCAACTGTCTTTCGCCCTACTGCTGTTAATATTTCAAAAATGAAGCCAGTGCGACTGCCTGAAAAATAGTCAGAAGAGCAGTAGGTGTTGCATTGCTTTCCGTTCTTTTAATATCGTAATGTGTTACTCTTCCTGGTTTTTTTCCTTATCAGAGTGAAAGCCACACACGGGTGGTGGGACACAGGGCGGGCACCGGGCCCCCGCGTCCTCTCCCGGGTCCTCTGGACCGACGTGAGGCACGGCCCGGCCTGGCGCTCTCGGGCGTCCCCCGCCGCCCGCGCCTGGGCCTCGCTCGTCTGCCCCCAGTTTTACCTGAGCGGGATGTTGAACGATGCCCTCGGAATCCCAACCAACCACCCCAAATGACCCCTCTCAGCACCAGATAAAATCCGCAGAGCAATAAAAATGAAATTCGGCCGGGCCTCAGTTTCCTTATCAGTCCCTGCCCCCTCAAACTTTCTGCGCCTCCCCAGTGTCGGCCAGGGACAACTTGTTCACTCCGAAGCTCAGCAACTTTCCGGCAGAAGCGAGCCTGCAGTGGTTCTGCACAGACTTCCCACCCCGGACCCTCTACTGCCCCTGGTGGCGGCCACCATCTTACCCCGGTTCCAGAGGCGCGCTAAAAATGAAGCCAAACCGGCTGCCGGCGACGGTTGTTTTGAACTATACTTCCCATCAGCCCTTTCTTAACATCGCGAGAGCTCAAGCGAGACTGCCGGGGAGACTTGCGCGCAGGCGCAGTCTCGCGTTCTTTTCGGGGTCTACCGCGTGGCTGGTGGTCATGGTGGATCGCGTCGGTGCTGAACTTAGCTGGCAGCCTCGGGCCTGCGGTGATGGTAAGGCTGCGGAGGTGTGGGAAAACGGGGACTTCCTCGACATGGCCCTAACACACTCGGCCTCCCCTTCGTCAGAGGCCAGGTGGTGACAATGAGGCCGGTTTCTTTCTCATTTTGCGGTTGAGAAGATTAACTGAGATACTGGATGACAAAATGCTTTCAAGACCGCGAGAAACTGTATTGCGTGTAGGGAGAAAGTTCAAGCCGGTCTTTGGCGTCGAAGGGCCCCTCCTGGGGAGAGGGGTCTTCCAACCTGGGCCGCCCGGCGCGCCCCACGGCCACGCGCGTGCTTAGCGAGGACGCTCGGGGCTCTCCCGTGTCCGCCCACGGGCAAACTATCTGACAGTGACAGTTCTTAATTCAGCGTCAGGACTGTTGACGTGTGAATACATGACTCCACTTGGGGTGCCTTGAGGACAGCCTCAGTCAGTGGTTTTCATGTCACTTTATAGATAGTAATCAGTGGGATTGTAGACTTTCTTTGGAAATCTGTAGTTTTAATAACGAGCCATTTTCCCTTCCCCAGAGGCCTTTCTTTGCCATCTGCAGAGACGGCCAGAAGCAGAGCGGCAGGTTGAAGCTTCAGATTGTGGATGGAGCCCGAAAATGAGTAAGAATGGGTGCAGGCACGACGTGCGTGGTCATCAGAAATGAGAAAACAGAGTTGGTATAACTCTGCTATCACAGACATCTGCCTCATACTTTGTTCTGACGTTAAGTTCAAGTGTATCAGTACATGTTGACACAGAAGTCTAGTTAGGGTACGAAATCTACCCACAATTCAGAATGCTGATCTCTTAATGGTAAAAATGAGGAGGGTTGTGCCTTTGTAATTAGGGGCCACTAGGTGTCACTGTTTGTAACCAACATGGATGTCACTGTGCACAGGGCTCAAAGGGAGACGGGAAAGGAGTTTCAGTTGGCTGGCATTTAGGAATATTTGTCACTGGTTGAGCTGAGGATGATTCAAAGTTATCCCTGTCTGAAATGACATCTTTTATGAGGAGTTCTGACTTGCTGAGGCTCAGCTTTTTAATACAAATCTCGAGAAAATAAACAATTTAAGGTTGTTTCTGTTAGAATGAAGTGTGTTATCCTTTCCTTTCAGATTAAAGATGTTGTTTGTGGACTTTAAAAAAAAGCCTTGTGAAAACTCATCATGAGATGTCGACTGTGAGAATCTTCACGATGACGTTTCTGTAAATGGTAAGCACAGGTTAAGCTTGTGAGTACTGGTCTGTTAGATTCAGGATTGTGGGGGCCTTCCAGGAGTGTGCCCAAACGATGGGAGTAGTGTGGAATTCTTTTTGCTAGCCTCCTTGCCAAGCAATCTCACAAACAGTATTTGTTATAACCACCATGTGTGAGGTAAGTTTTTTCCCCACTTTGCTTTTGAGTAAATACATGAGGCTTAGAGAGTTCTCTTGTCCAAAGTTACGTAACCGGTTATTGAGTTAGATTGGATTGATGGTGCTCAACTGGGGGTGGAGGGTGTCACTGGCATCTAGTGGATGCTGCTAAATACCCTGGAATGGTCAGGGCGGCCCTCATGAGAGAATTTATTCACTCAAAACGTCAGTGAGGCTGAGGCTGAGAAACTCTCAGAACTGTATATTAGACTGGCTAGAGATCTGGGCTTTAGTCTGAGCAGATAACTTGTTTCTGCATTTGTAAAACAGGGTTAGTGGTTTCCAAACCTGAGTGTATGTCAGAACCAGCTACAAAGTGTTAAAAAGTACACATTCCTGGGCCCCACCTTCAGCAATGGATGAGAGTGGTTCTGGACTGGAGCCCAGGAATCGTGTGGCCAGTCCAAGAGCAGGTGTATGGGAACAATTAGATTATCTAATCTGCTTTTAGCTCAAGGATTTTATTAGGGCAAGATTATAGTGCTGGCTATTTTTAAGTAGCTCTTGGAACAGATCTCTAATCCTCTATCTTAAAAAACTGAAAGCCCACATACTTGTTCTGCAGGGTAGTTTTGTATTATACATACAGGGAGGTGAAGGGAAAGTGACCTTGCGATGTTGCCTCTTAGCAGCTCGTGTTGTTTTGTATGCTGGCCTTCAATAGGCTAGCTGAAACAATGAGTGATCTGAAATAAAATAGACATGATTGGGAGTTCTCATGAGGAAAGTAAAGCACAATTTAAGAGTTTGCGTGTGCTATGGCTGTCAGCGCCGTGGACTAGCAGGTTGGTGGGAGCTGAGTGCATGATGATGTCAAGTTATCCCTGTCTGAAGGCAAAGAAAGGCCTTTCTGTGTGGAATGTGGATGTCTGAAACTCAGTTTCCCAAGCTTGTCTTATAGAAAACTTAGGCAATGATTTTAAAAATGGCTGAGAGTTACTCTGTATATCTTCTTGAGTAGATTTTTTTCTTTTTTTAATTCTTTTCCTCATCGGGTGCAGTCTCAGCCTCAGTTTCTGAGGCTGAAAAAGGATCTTCTAGCAGCTACACTGTGGCAGCTGCCCTGGCCCTGGCCCTGAAGGAGACTGTCACGTGCGTGTAAACACGTAAGACCTTCCATACAGGCTCAGGTGGGTGGTTCTTTTTGCTGCCCCTGCTTTGGACTTAAGGCTGTGCTAAGTGACAGGGAAACTTTAGCAGACTCTTGTTTTCTTTGCTAGCTGTCTGCAGTGTGAGAGAGAACTGTGAACTGCTTTTCCTGAGGCAAGTGGAATGGTTCCTGCTGTTCGTAAGCTTTATATCTTTCATGTCCCTAAGAAGCCCCACAAGCCTATGATGGTTAGTTATCCCTGTCTGAAAATCTTGACTGAGGGAAAATAATCTATTCTGAGGCTTAAGGGTTTGGCCTTATGTTTTTATTTATTTATTTTTTTGCCACCCGCCCCCCATACTCTTAAAAGAAATGCAGGCATCTTAGGAGATCAAATTGAATGGACCCCTCCAAAGAAACCCTCCCCCCTACGGAGAGCCCAGTCTAGTGCCTTATCCCTCTGAAACTTGAATACCAAATGTGTCATTTCCCTCTTAGTGCTCTAGCCCCTTGACTGATGGCTCTGAGGGTACAGACTATAAGAGGTAGCTGAAATAGACAAGTGCCAGGATTTGATTTATGCTCTTATTGTGGAATGAAAGAGTGCTTGTCACATTTCAAGAAAATGAATACGCTCTTTGAAACTGAGATGGGAATGTAAAACGTATGCCAGTTTCTGGCAGTAAGAGTGCTTAACAACTTTGCCCTTGCCTCTGCAGCGGTGTCCTGACATTTAAGGGAGAAGGGTACATACCATGGCACTGGGAGAGCCGACTGGTTTCCAGGTGCTTTGTTAACACCAGGGAGCTCTCCTCTTGGATACTATTGCCGTGATTGGCATGGGGCTCCTCCCTGGGCAGCAGAGGCTGGCTTATGAACAAGAAAGAAACAAAGTGGCAGTTATGGGCAGGGTGCCTGGCTTTGTTCCCATTTACATGCCAGGCTTGAAGTGGACACAGATTGCCTTTCTTTTCTGTCAAAATTGGGAGGTGTGTTCAGACTCTTTGTATTTAAGGTCACATTTTTGGTTGGTCACCAAAGAAGCTGTATTTGGGGTAAGATTTAATGACTCTACCAACTGGCTCCAGCAGCTTACAGCCTACAAGTAAAACAGTGAAAGAGTGTAGCAAGTGGGGAGGATGTGCTTCCTTGGTTATCATTTGCTTTTGAGTGGACTTGACTGCTCTATGGAACTCAAGTAAACCTGAAGGTTTGACTTTAAAACGTTTACATCCAGAGTGAGATTGAATATAAATATCTCTAGTGTTTTGTGGGAATTCTTTTAAATTTTTTGATAGTGCCAGATTGTGCTGCCCACAATAATCGTGGTTAGAACGAATGCTTCTGATTGCCTTTTTCTCCTGAATTAGTTGTTACAATGTAGCTTTCAGTTTTGAGTCACTTTCTTGGCCGTATTTCAAGTTACTGTCCTTGGTTTTACAGGTTATCTGCCAGTGATGTCAGATGGGATCAGCACAGCCCCGCCTCTGCTGCCAATTGCTAATGCCCGTAAAATAATCTCCCCAAAAGAATCATTTAAGAGTTCTTCATCTTTAAAGGAATTCAAGTGACTGAGATTATCCCAGAAAACGTTTGGCAGTTAGTGAAATTAGGGTCCAGCTAAGAATATTCAGGCCTCCAGTTTGGGTGGTCTGGTATTATCTCACAAATCAACAGTTCTGCAGTGATTATAAATTGAAATTAATTAATGTTTATACTCTGTTAGGGGAGACTAAAGGGAAATGTATTTCCTATGAGATCATTGTGTGTGGGGTTTAAATTTTGAAGCACAAATAAAAGTTTTTTTAATTGACTCACTGGCATTGTGGATTTCAGATTGACTGAGAATGTAAGAATGATATTTTATTCTGTTAGTAAACACATTTGTATGAGTTTTAGAGAATAATACTTAACCCCAGTTATACAGAATGCCATTTGATATTTTCTGTTTTTTAGTTACCCACTAAATTGATTTTGTGTCCCACTAGTGGGTCGTCACCCACAAACATTGCTTTAGTGCTTTTACTTGAAATCTAATGAAGGATTGATAAAAGTTCTACTGGTATTTCCACCGAGTGGCTTCCAGGAGTAGATCATGGTTCACATAGAACATCAGTGGTTTATTTCTTCATTTGAAATAGTGGGCAGAAAATTTCCAATACTGGCTTGCCAAGGCAATTGGGTTTCTTTACTAAAAGATCACTATGTGTATGATAATAGGATGGATTGTGAATGTCAGAGGAATGTCTCGTATGTCCCACATTTGACTATGTTCTTTTCAATAGTATTCTATTGAAAGGAACATACCACTTTCCTGGGGACTGAGGGACTCTCTGGTGTTGCCAAGATAAAGCAAGCTGGAAGGCTTTGTCCTGGTGCCAGTAACTCTGAAATATCTCTTAATTTCTCCTTTCCAGGCAGCAGGATGCTATGGTTTCCCCATGTGGCTGCTTTAGTAATTAAAGCCCAAACGTCCATTCTGTTGATCAGTTGTCTCTGAATTTCTAAAGCAGTATTTTGTTTCTGGTGACTGAGTTAATCCCCATCCCTCTTGTTAAGTGTTCTGATAGAATCAGCTTTCCAAAAGCACAGAACCAGAAGCTAGCTTGTGGGCTTTGGTGAACTTACCAACTGGACTGATGCCACCTTGGGAAGTCTTTTGGCAGCTATCCCTGTGGAGACCCCCCGCCCCACCCACCTGCCCCACATGGTATAGCATCTCAAACTGTCCAAAGCCGCTAGTTATCAAGACAGTAAATAATGGCTTGCTTACGGGCTGTGTGATAACTTGTTTGGATGACACTTCCTTAAAACCACCTGTCAGCTATGTAAGTTCAAATTTACTGAAGCCATGATGTGAGAATGAGGATTTATTACCTGGTAATGTCATCCTGTTGGTGACAAGATGGTGATATATCTCGAATAGGACTTCCCTCAATGGCAGGAAGGCTACTGAGCAATTGTCCCCTATCAGGTACCAGTGTTCTTGGATTTGGAGAGTGATCTCCATCCTAAACACCCTGCATTACATATGATTTCTCTACTTTACCCAGCACAGAAAGACAAAAACGGTCATCCATCATTTATGCAGTTATCTAGTCTCATTACATTCTGCCTTTTCTCCCACTACCGGGGGACAGAAGTCTATCGTGTTCTCAGAAAGGCTCTTAGGAGGTGTCCTGGAGTTGAATTGCTTTGGCCTTTCTTTGTGTCGGGTTTGACACACTAGTGGGCTGGGGCTTGTGTGTTTGCCTGTACTGCTGCTTCATCGTGGTCAACCAGCAGGCCCCGAGTTGCTCTGCTGATGTTCCTAAAGTCGCCTGGTACAAACCCAGCAAAGCAGTCCCTCTTCCCTTGGTCAAGGTTGGGATGTCTGTCTCAGACCTGGAGAGTTTTCTTGGATGAGCCAAGGACAGGATAGGGTGTCCTGCATTGGACTGGCCTTGGTGATAGTCACAAATCTACCCCAGTGCCCCGTGTTAGGAACAAGGGGGGCCGAAAAGTTAAAGGCGTTTGGCCACTTGAGGGGACCAAGGCCACAGCTCCTTCAAGAAGCAACGGGCTTGGTGCTTTGGGGTCAGCGCTGGTACAGTTGAAGGATGCCGGCCTTGTGCAGGTCCCTCCACAGGGCGGCTTCCAGGAGCAGGTCATGGTTTGCGTAGAATATCAATGGCTTCTTTATTCGTTCGAAATAGTGGTCAGAAAATTTCCGGTAGTTGCTTGTGATGAATCCGTAGGCACTGACCTGGACAAGGGTAGTCAGAGTTAGTATTTACTGAGCTCATATTGTGCGTAGACAGACTGAAGTGACAGGAATTCACAAAGGTGTGGTCCCCCTGCTGGGGTGTCTGGGTGAAGATGCAGATAATGTGTTTGAAAGGGCTTATCCCCATTTAACACATGGGAAACAGGCTCGGAGGGGTAACTAAACAGGAGCTGGGTTTGGAACTGAAGGATAGAGGCAAGAGCCCATCACTGCAGTCCAGAGACTCCTGCATTAAAACAGGGAAGAGGTGCAGGCTGGGGGCATGGAGTGGCACTTGGCCCCTAGCTCTCAGGCTGGCTTTAGCATATGCCTCCTCTTGAAAGCTGCATCTCGACCTCTGCCTCCTTAAATGTCCATACGGGCAGCATCCCACTGGGATTGTCTCATATGGTGATTTCAGAATTTCTGTATGTTTTTGTGTGGGGGAGGCTAAACCTCCTGCTCCACCCCAGGATGTCCCTGTAAAAGGATGTCCCTAGTTCTGTTGAGAAGATTTTGCTTTCACGAGGTCGACAAATTTGCACCTTAAATGCCATATTAAGTAGCCGCCTTGGGGAAGATGGAGAAGGAAGCAGGTGGTGGTGGGAGCCAAGGCAAGGCCAGCCCGGGACCTGCCTTTAAATGACTGGACGGCAGGCATGGAGGTGGCAGTGGCACTCCTGCAGCTGGGGAATTCCCCTACAAACAGGCCGAGAGTCCCGGGTCTGAGGGCGGCAGGCCTCAGGTAAGGGAGAGCAAGTTTGATGTTGGGTTCTGTTCACACCTGTGCTCTGCAGCCATGGCCTCCTGAAAGAGAAGCCCTCTTACCTGGTCACAGGTATGCAAAGCTGTCAGCAGCATGAGGGCCCCAGTACTAGGCATATATAGGTCTCCAAAATTTGTGTTAATCAACTTTGATTTTAAAAACCTGGAAGAAAAAAGAGGTTAAAATTCGAGAAAGATCACACTTGACAACTACCCACTTAGATTAGAAAACTTCAAAAACTCTGGCCCTTCCACCTCAATCAAGTCCCTATTTGGGGAAAAAGTCAAGTGAACCCCTAAATGCAACACTCTTAGGTTGAAATAAAACACCTTAGGCGAAGGGGTAGTGGTGAGAAAGAGGCACTACAGGTGAAATCCTTCTCCCACTCTCTCTCCCACTCTCCGCAACACCCTGTGTTCACCCTCCCCACCCCCACTAAGTAACCGCACTGCCTAGGGCATAGGTGGCCTGTTCGCTTAGTCTGAGACTTGGGTTTCTCTCCACCCCACATCTTGACCAAGCAGGAATCAGTATGAGGGACAGGGATCTCAGGTGCTGTGGCTGGACTCGCTGGCGTGATGGGGCGCACCCACACATGCACACGGTCCAAAGATGAGGGCACACCCGCGTGGTGACCATGGGCTCTGACCTCTGGGCCTGGATTTTCCTCTGTAGCATGGGGACATACCTGTGCTAGGGCTTCAGTTGGCGTCCCCAGATGCACTTGCTGCCCTTGCCTACCTGCTCCCTGTTATGGGATGCTGGCCTCTGTGGTCCGCAGGGTTTCTCAACCAAGGCATGATTGACATTTGGGGCCAGATAGTTCTTTATTGCAGGGGCTGCCCTGTGCATTATAGGATGTTTGGCAGCATCTCTGGCCTCTACCTACTAGTGGCACTCACTGCCCCCCAACCTTGTGACAACCAAAATATCTCCAGACAGGACTATAATGCACCCTGCCCCCTGCCCCCTGCTCCTGCCCCCAGCGTTGAGAACCACTGGTAAGAGGGGGGAAGGAGGGAAGTGAGGTCAGGCTGTTTGTTCCCCGGGCTCCCCACTGCCAGTTGCCTTGGGCTGGCTGTGTTTGGGCCTAAAAGTGATGACAGCTCTGTTTCTATGGCCCCACTACTGCCGTACACCTGTGGCTCCCCAGACCCAGCCTACGCCTTTGTGAACAGTCCCTAGTAAAGACACCTCCTTGAGTTATCCTGAGTGTCCCATCCATTTCCTGTTGAACCTGACCAACATAACACCACCTCCATCAAGGTGTTAAATAAAATAGTAAATTAAAGAACAGAAAGTGCTTCGCACGAAGCACTCAGCGCAGGTGAGCTCTGGTTATTGGGTAGTGCAGGGGCTCTCAGGGGCACTGCATGGATGTGGGGCAGGTGTGCAAGAGGGAAAGGATGGGGAAGCTGTTCTTCCTGGCACCCCCCTTCCATACCTCTCTGTCAGGTAGCTGATGAAGTCCGGATGTAGCAGCTTGAATTTACTGGCAGAGGCTTCCGGTCCGAAATAGGTGTGAGGCCTAGGACCCACGATAGAAGTGGACAGAGCGCCCGGGCCCGTCGTATTGCAAGTGGGAGATGGATGGGAGGGGCATGGCGTTGGGGCGCCTGCGGTAGGGGCGGGGTTGGGAGTAGTAGCGGGAGAAGGGTGTGTAGAAGGTGGCCGGCAGCACGGTGGGGACCACATGTGGCTTCCCGCTCACCAGGACCTCAGTAGGTGGGGAGTAGGAGAGTGAGGAGGGGGGTGTGAACAG